GAGGATTTGACATATTTCTGGGTGGATTTGATTTGATCTACTGGGAATCATGATCAAGAAAAGTGGGAATTTCATAACAGAATGTGAATTGTGTTTGATGAGTCAGTGTTTAAATAGATATGGCTACTAACATTGTCCATTAACTCACATAGCTAATTGGATATCAAAATTCTTTGGAATAAGATATTTAAATGAATCTTTCACAAGAACAAGAACAAATTTTAAGAGAGTAATTAGGGTAAATTTTAGATTGACTAATACAAATATATATATATATATGTCTTTGAAACATTGGTGCTCACAGTCAGTAGTTCCTTCATTGTACATTCCATTATTTTACAATAGAGAACACATAGTACAGCATTTAATACAGAGAAAAATAGACATTCGTCCCTCAAGAGAAACAACACAAACAAAAGCCTTGCTCAGGTCACAAAGGTCATGTGCACATGTGCACACCTTCATTTACCGTGCAATTGGACAGATATTTATACAGCTGCCTGAACGTTCATTTAAAATCATATGAACCAAATCAAACCAATTTTGTTTCAAAATAAATAGGATGTTGGCTCAGAGACCCCAACATATGGAAAATATGGTCTTATCAGATGACCGGAAGAAAGTTGATGGAGACAAACTGTGGAGATGAAAATGTGTGTCTCATAAGACAGTTTGGATCTTCACACATCCTGGGGGCCTTGAAGCACCTTGAGCTGAAAACTCATCTGTCATGAGCCATTAGGGGTGTGAAATCTAAATAAATGCTACAAGATGTTGACATGCATCCCGACTGGATTATGTTGTCAACTCAAGTAAACAAACAGAGTAACTGAACACTGTGAAGGAAAACAAAAAACATCTGTGTTTTTGGATGCTGAAAATTTCAATTACAACAGGGCTTTTCATGCCATGTTTAACCTTTGAGTTAACATCTTTTTAGCCCTGGGTTAAAGCTACATTTAAGAAAAACTTTTGCTATAATTATGTGACACAATGAAATGCTATTTAACAACATTAGCAACAGACAACAAATCATAAAAAGCCTCATTAAATATTCATGAGCTGAAATTTTCACACAGCCACCAAACAAAAAGTATACAAATAAAATAATAAAAAATGAAGAAAAGGCATGGAAAATGATAGTGGTCAGTTTTATCACAAAGTAAATTACTTTGTCTTACACTTTTGCAATAAATAAATTATTGTGGTTACACTAGTCTGACTGTTATGTTTTTCTATATAACTACATATTTTTAAGAAATGGTTATGGTTCGGATTAGAGGTAGGAGTGGGAATAGCTGCTCAAAATGTGCTTTTTATTCTATATTGTTATTTAATTGTCATTGTAGACCTACATATTTGTGTCCATTATGTTTTATATATTCATTTAATATTCTCTGTAAAATGGTTATGCTTAGGGTTAACAGTTATCAGTTACAGGAACTTAAATTTTTCAATAAAATGTATCAGTAAAAATGTAACTATACTTTAGCTGTAAAATAATAATGTTTACATTGTCAATACGTACATAATACGTCCATATATATGGTATTCATGTCCATATTTCAGCATCTACGCAAATGTACAAAACGTCTACGTAAATGTTACGTACTAATATGTATAAACAATGAGACCAGGCTGGAAATATAAGGAGCTATATCATAATGCATTGTATGCATATATGTTCATCATAAAAATGTAATGTTATTCCAGCGCTGTGAAAATTTCAATTATGTCTTTGTCATTATTTTATACACAAATTCCCTCCACTGCATTTTTTTTAAATGATTAGCGTGTTGAGATAAAAAAAAATAATGCAGAAACAACACCCTCAATGAAGCAGAAAAAAAAATATTACATTCAGATTGATATGAATCTGAATCTAAACCTAATAGAGCCAAACCATTCGATCACATATCACATAATACAGCAGCTGCCAATCATTTACTACTAATTTGCCTTTGCACAACAAAAATAGTTATAACTATAATTAAATAAAAGGCTTGTATTTGAATCATTATTACTGAACAACATAATTAGTATTTATCCATGGATAAAAACTGAAGGGAAAAAGGGACAAACTTGTGCCAGCAAACACGCCTGGAGATATAAAGGCCCACATTAGCGTATAAAACACGGCACGGACACAGTTACCAGTGGAACTTTTTAACCGCTATTGTTATGCGGTTCCCTCAAACTTTGGAAAGGTCCTCTGTCATTGATCAACATTACTGACAGCAAGATCCTGTGGCAAAAGAACACTGTGTACAAAGATCTGTTTTGCTACTCCATTTATACATTTATATCCCCAGCGGTGAATGCTTCCATGCGCTGATTATTAGAGGCAATTCTAGATACTTTTGGTCCTTTTTTGGTAAAAACAATCCAGCTTAATTCTTTTATTGCTGTATGTTGTAACCGTTCACATGACTGAGTGGTTAATGCATAATATTATTACTGTCGAGATGGCCATTGCTGAATTCTGGGAACTTATGAAGACTTCATGCTTACTGTAAGTAGGGCCATCAATCAATTAAACCATTTATGGTTGTATTTAGTTGTAGTTAGTGATGCAGCAAAATTGAAACTGAAAAGGTGATTAATTAGCTATTCTCCAATGGCTGATAAGATACAAGTAAACATCAGCTGTGTATATGCTAGGGAGGGGTTGGCTTTATCGATGTCCTGTTTTTTATTTATCTTTTTTATTGAACTGAGATTTTCTAGTCTATGCTGTTTTAAGTTAATGCGTGAACAAATTATTTTGTACCACCCAACCCCAGAAACCAAGCGATTATTAATGTGATTATGCACCAGGCTTTGTTACTTTTGATATGAAACAAAAGTTGAGCTTTCAAAAGCTGTCAGTTTTATAACATAATTCAAACAATAAATTTGGTTTTGATGCTCTTTAATGTGGCATGATGGACCACTCTCTTCCACTTTGTTACTAGTTATAGCACAAAATAAACATGAATGAAAATTAGAAGGAATGTTGAAAGGAACAACTGCAGCTTACTCTCATGTAATCGTCACATAATGTCACATAATGGTACATTTACCTCAGGAAAGCTATTCATTGTTCAGAGTTTGATAGACAGCTTGAAAATGTTTTATAAAATATGCACTATATTGCATATTCATTATACTTGAACTTAACCTGTTTTCTTCATTATTTAATGTATGCTTGAGCAAATGGCACAAAAAAAATCATTTTGGTTTCGGTGTTTTGGTAAAAATAATAATTTCGGCACATAGTTGTAGTTAACATGTTAACGCATTGAGTTACTTTTAAAGGAAAGAACAAAATAATACATTTATGTGGATGACGCTCATGTCATAAATGTTCCTCATCTCATTTGGAAAATGACACTAAACATAGTATATAAAATTAAATTGAATTAATGTTATAATAGAGGGTCAAAATGACTCAGCATGCTCTGATTTTTTATATTTTATCGATGAATATTTAATTAATCCTTCAAAAAATGTTTGTTTCTGATCCTCAACAATGTCATTTGCATATTTTTTTATCATTACCCAAAAAATGCATAAAGGGGGTCATTTTCTGGCCCATAATCATTCCCAATGGAATTTAAAATCAACAAAAGTATTTGTGGATACCTAATATTTATTTTCTTTCAACTTTATGGATTACTTAAAAATCTGTTGTTACTTTTTTGCTCTGAACCAACAATTTGCCTCACACACCAACCTTGTGTACATTTGAAGAGTTCAGATGCAAAAGCCTCTAAGTGCCATTTGAAATTTTCTTCTAGAATGATCAATTTTATCAAGCTTGTATATTTAAGTTCAGTAATTTCACTTAAATGACAATTCATAGGTAATCTTCATTCCCATTTAAGTCAAATTAATGAACTTAAAGGCTTTTGCATCTGAACTCTTCAAATATTCATATTTCTGTATAGCAGGTGAAAAGCAGTATGTGAAATGTGTAGTATGTCTGAATTCACAGTATTCCTAAAACAATAGGCCAAAAAAGTACCCGGATGATCTAGTTCTTCTGCCATGCTTCAATTATTTTATAAATAGGACACCTCATTTTCTGAAGAAAACCATTAAAGGATTAGTTCACTTTTGAAAAAACTTTTGCTGATAATTTACTCACCCCCATGTCATCCAAGATGTCCATGTCTTTCGTTCCTCAGTCGAAAAGAAATTTAGGTTTTTGATGAAAACATTCCAGGATTTTTCTCCATATAATGGACTTCAATGGGAACCGGATGGTTCAAGGTCCAAAAGATAGTGTTAATAACAGTTTCAGATGCAGCTTCAAATGTCTTTAAACGACACCAGACGATGAATAAGGGTCTTATCATGCGAAACGATCGGTTATTTCAAAACTTACTCCAAAAATGTAACTTTTCTAAGGACAAATGCTAGCATTGCTCTATTCTGTGAGGCGCGTTTGCAACGTCACGTATTACATAATTACGTTCAAAAGGTCACGGGCGACGTAGCCGAAAGTACAGATTCAGTGTTTACAAGTTGAACGCATAGGTTGAACGTGCAAACTAGCTCAAACACCGTAAACAAAAAAAGGAATTAAAAGGAAAAACAACGATGTCGGACGATTTTGATTCTGTACTTCCGGCTACGTCGCCCGTGACCTTTTGAACGTAATTACGTATTACGTGACGTTACAAACGCGCCTCAGAGAATATAGCAAGGCTAGCATTTGTCCTTAGAAAAGTTACATTTTTGGAATAAGTTTTGAAATAACCGATCGTTTCGCATGATAAGACCCTTATTCATCGTCTGGTGTCGTTTAAAGACATTTGAAGCTGCATCTGAAACTGATATTAACACTATCTTTTGGACCTTGAACCATCCGGTTCCCATTGAAGTCCATTATATGGAGAAAAATCCTGGAATGTTTTCATCAAAAACCTAAATTTCTTTTTGACTGAGGAAAGAAAGACATGGACATCTTGGATGACATGGGGGTGAGTAAATTATCAGCAAAAGTTTTTTCAAAAGTGAACTACTCCTTTAATTCCATTTCGAATCACTTTGACCCCCTTTATGCATTCGTGTAGATTTTTAGTGTTATGCATTCTAGGGTTTAACAATTAACAGTGTTAAACGTATTTATTGTATGCGTTAACATCTTTACCACAACAACCCTAAGTGTAAGTAATAGCTGACTCTGACTATTCTATACTTTTCAGGAAGTGTGGAACAGATGTTTCTCAGCTTCATTGGATGTCACTCTTTTCTTTGGTCATGCCCCAAATGACGCGCTTGTTGTTGAATTCAAGCCTTGTCCGAGAAGTCCGAAGTACTAACCGACGGTCTCAGTAACCTATTGCAAGAATTTAGGTGGAGGATGGCTGCAACAGCAGAAGGTGGCTTTTGAGACAAGGCCTTTGTCGTTGATGTTGTTAAACCATTGCAATGAGATAACGCAGCAATCAGACGTACCCATGTGGCTTGATATGCCAGTTTGTGTGACAGCAGAACAGGCGTCACAGGTATGTGGTGGCCTCGCGGTTCTCGCGTTCTTTGGCCTGGGCCACAGCCACGTTGATGCACTGCAGCCATTCTTCCGCATGCTTCTCATCTTGAGCTTTCAGCACGTAGGTTTTGCTGTCGGTGAAGATCTCGAAAGCTCTGGGCAGCCCGCGGTCGCGCCTCTTCTTTGCTACGACCTTAACGCTTTGCACTTTGCTAAGTTCAATTGTGCTGTCGTCCAGCTCGTCCTTCTGTGAGCACATGAGGGAAAAAGTGGCATCAATCAAAGCTAATGCTTTACACACTAATGGTCAGATAGGTCTGAATGGATAGCCAGTGGTTTTCAATCCTGGTCTCAGGGACCCACCGCTCTAAACATTTTGTACTGTATGTCTCTCTTATCCGACACACTCGGCTCAGTTCATGGAGCCTGAAATGGTCTTATTATTGGGTGATATGAGGGTCTGTGGCTCCACCATTGGAAAAAGCGTAACGGCTAACTTAGATCACATGTGCCTTGATAACCAATCACATTACAGCCTCGACATCATTCGATTTAATTCAGAGTTTAAAGAATGAAAGTATTATAAGTGTGTGTGAGTGTGTTACACTCTCTTTAGGTACACTTACATGGCCTTTTATTTCATTAAAGGGTTAGTTCACCCAAATTCTGTCAGTATTTACTGACAGAATTTTCAGTAAATAAAATTTACTGAAAATTGTATTTTTCAGTAAATTGTATTTTTCAGTAAAAGAAAAGAAAAAAGATTTTCTTTTACTGAAAAGAATGTTTTAATCAAACAGATCTCATTCCCCTACCAGTCAATGGGGAATGAGATCTGTTTGATTAAAACCTTCTTCCAAATATCTTCCTTTGTGTTCATTTTTGGGTGAACTAACCCTTTAATATTATATTATTTGCAAGTTCAGTTTTTTTAAATATACTTTTAATATTTCAACAGTTTGGCACCCTTCATTTTCACAAATTGTGGGTCATTTAGATTTTAGACACAATATTGGTTGGAGGCTCACAGCATGCATGGTCTCCTGCTATATTTTTCTTCCTGTCCAACAAGTTTTTAAGAGTCGCTGCACAAAGTTTGCCAAAAATGAAGCTTATTGTTGTTTGTGTACATGGATTAGAATGAGCACCATTAAAATGAAAGAAAAACAGCAGAATTGCAAGCAAATTTAAGGCATAATAAAAACAAGATGTGACAAGGGACCAAATGTTCCTCAAAATCATACTGAAAGCATTTGTGCCATGCCTGATAAACCAAAGATTTGTCAAGACTTTGCAATAAGACATGATTGTACCAATGCATCCTACTTATCCAGAGTAAAATTTACAATGAATCAAAATTTAATGTGCTTAAAAGCTCTGACAAAGGAATTCGTTTTTACTGAAAATCTTTTGCTGGCATTATACTGATCTTAGCTTTGTGGTCACTGTTTGCCTTGGTTTTGGTTATGAATTCTCCTTTGCACAATATTAAATATGGCTCCAGATTATACAGACCCATAATAAATTGGGTCTTTGCTTTGTTTAAAAGCAATAGTGAGATTCTGAAAAGCCATTTTAGTTTTATTAAGTTAATGTAACTCCCTTCAGGAAAGGGTTTGGTGAATCTCAAGATGAAGTCATGGGTTTTTAAAAGATAATGATCATCTTCCAGAAAGCTGGGCTTTAGAGTAATAAAATACTTGCTAGCCATTGGCTCAAAAATGAGCCATTAAAACTTTCTCATTTCTAGATTACAGAATCGCTCAATATAGATATAGGTTGTTCATAAGTCTTTTGAAGCAATACAATGGCTTTATGTGAGAAACGGACATACATTTTGGTCACTAGGTAAATTTAGCTTTTACTTCCTTGGCGGGAAAAGAGTTGATTGGCATTGCTTTTAGTTGCTGTAATGTTTTTCAAATTTGCTGCTTTGTGATCAGTCACATGACACGAGAAGAAACAGCATTTGGCATCAATCTTGATGAAACATCTAAAGATGACATGAAAAACAAGACAGCGCTAATAACTTAAGTTTTGCCTTTCTCACACAGGGTTATCATTTGACTTTTGAAGATCTAGAACATAACGCAAAAATTGTGACTATGTTTGCGATCTTTTGTCCTTTAAGCATAAGTAAATCATCAGATTTCCTTTTACGGAAAACATAAGCTGCCTAATATCTTATTTTGTGTTCCATAGAAGAAACAAAATACATTGGACGATATGAGGCTGAGTAAATGATTATTACAAAATAGTCATTTTTCTATGATCAGTTGATAGGACACTTACAGATTTTCCTCTTCTGAAAAGAAGCTGGTTGCCGGCAAGCGTGAAATAACGTGTTTTCCACCTTTTGATGAACTTCCAGCGTACCTGTTTCTCCTTCAGCTTCCCTTCAATGAGTGGCTGGCCATCCTGGTTAACGACTGCAGCAGAAAGAGTCAAAATGAAAAAAAAAAAGTTAAAGTAAGGGATGCAACTCTGTCTCACATCATTAGAAAGATTTCACGAGAAGGTTATAGATGGACTAATAATAGTGCTTTTATGATGCTTTTTGTCAGCCCTTGGTCCTGCCTGCTTTCATTGTATGGAAAAGAGCACCAAATACACTCTTCAAAATATCTTCTTTTGTGCTCTACGGAAAAGAGTCAGTCAAAATTGATTTAAAAAGGCTGAGTAAACAAATAATTGATTATTTTGGTGAACTAGAGCCATGTCTGTCCATAGACACTTTGAATGCAACACCAAACAATACTCTTCACTCACAGAGCCATCCTCTTCTGGACATACGCCATGCTTAACTATTTATAATGGGAAAAGTTTTCTCATTAGACGAACAAAGGAGCACTGCTCAGTGTTTTATCACCACATTGCAATATCTGGTGTGGTTTCAGACGTGGTGAATATTGTGTCTCCTGCCTGTGTTTGATAGGTCTGTCCGAACTACACAAAGCGTTTCACAGATCTCTCTCATGGGTTTATTTGAGTTAAACAGGAAGCTGTGTTATAAGCCTTCCAGGATGGTACAAAGCAGCCCATTGTCTGAGTTTTCCTTTTTTTCAGCAAGGAAAACAGATGAGAATCTGCAGCACTTCAGATTAAGCAAGACTGATATCTGATAATCACCCAACTGTAATCCCAAATGGCAGAAGTTAAGCGCTCTATTAGAGTATTAGTACTTGAGAATTAGAGAAGTATTAGTGTAAGAGATATTAGAGATTATTAAGTAGAGAACACCGAAGTAATGATTTACTTAAAAAACACAACCCTTGTTTGACGCAATTTCCTAGAAAACAAAAAATGGCGCGTAATTGCGTTAGTATAATAATTTCATTCTGGGATATAAAATGCACTTTCTATGAATAAGGCAAAAATAAGGCAAAATTAAAGTCATTTTCGGTGAAAGGAGGTGTTTAACTCTCAGAAAATGTTGACTGTTTACCTCAAGGATGTTAAGCTAGATTTTATATGAACTGCTGCTATAAATAAATTTCATAAATATGTCAGTTAAATCAGTAAAAGAACATCAACAACAACACATAATAAGTTAATGCATTGTGTTGAATGCACTTGAGAAGGTCAAGACCTCCAAAGTGGGACAGCCCGAAATCATCATTTCAAATTAGTTAAACAGGTTTTGATACAAAAATTTTGATACAAAAAGTTTTTTCATTGATATAAATAGTAGTTTTGATGGAATTGGATACCTTCAATGCAGTAAAACGGTAAATCATGTCCATTTTAGGAAAGTGCTAAAACATTAACAATGTTTTAACATTGGTAAGCTATTTCTGGTCAACCACATAAAATCTTTTTTAAAGAACAAAAAAAACGGGCAGAACACTTGAAAAACTTTGGAAGAGATAATGCTTGTTCTGGTTGTTTCAACCCAAACCCTTTTGCAGATGTCAGTATTACAATGCTGGTAAATGTTGATAATTGAATTTGTGTGTGTTTATCGCATGAGCAACATCATAATTCTCTGTAATGAATTATTTTCATTTAATTTGCTTTTATACTCTCAGCTTTTCTCAAACGCATGAATCAAAACACTAGAATGTCTATGTGAGTACATGGGCAAAGCAAATATAAAATGTATGCTTTGTAAATCCCACAATATTAAAAGCATCTGTTCTCCATTCTGCATGACATTTGTTTGCCTAAATTGACTTCTGTTCTGTTGATTTTATTCTGTATATGATACTATATTTGAAAATGAGTTTGTGGTCAGACACTAATGATAAGAACAGAGGCCAAAACCCAATGCTCAGCAAGCCCACAGACAGACAGGTCTTTCTGAAGTTACACAATGTCCTAAATCATAGTAGCTGTAAAGGATCCACTGAAGGCAAGATTGAAGAGAACCCAAGAGCAGTTTATTCACATAACAAAATCCAAGATCAAACTTAAAACAAAAGCATGACATGGCAGGGACTCAAAACTTAAGCATAAACATAACGCTTAGGCCCTACCAACAGAGGTTACAGTTAATTCTAGACGAAGACACATGGCAAACATGAGGGCTTAAAGGAGTAGTTCACTTTTAAAAAAAAATTTTGCTGATAATTTACTCACCCCCATGTCATCTATCCATGTCTTTATTTCTTCAGTCGAAAAGAAATTAAGGTTTTTGATGAAAACATTCCAGGATTTCTCTCCATATAATGGACTTCAGTGGGAACCAGACGGCTCAAGAAACTTTCAGTACAAACTGCAAACTTGTTCAAAGGGCTTTAAACGATTCCAGACGATAAATAAGGATCTTATCAAGGGAAACAATCGCTCATTTTTTTAAAAAAATAACAAAGTTTAAGTTTTATAAGATCAAACGCTCGCCTTGCTCTGTTCTGTGGTGCACGTTTGTGACTCTCCTGTTCGAACTCGTTCAACAAAATGAACAAATCTTTTACTGAATCAATTCGTTCGTTTCTTTCACCGAATGAACCAAATGACTCGCAAAAAGATTTGTTCATTTTGATGAACGAGTTCGAACAGGAGTGCGTTACAGAACAGAGCAAGGTGAGCGTTTGAGCTTATAAAACTTAAACTTTGTTATTTATTTATAAAACAAGCGATCGTTTCGCTTGATAAGACCCTTATTCATCGTCTGGAATCGTTTAAAGCCCTTTGAACAAGTTTGCAGTTTGTACTTAAAGTTTCTTTTGGAACTTGAACCGTTTGGTTCCCATTGAAGTCCATTATATGGAGAAAAATCCTGGAATGTTTTCATCAAAAACCTTAATTTCTTTTCGACTGAAGAAAGAAAGACATCGACATCTTGGATGACATGGGGGTGAGTAAATTATTAGCAAAAGTTTTTTCAAAAGTGAACTACTCCTTTAAATACAAGACAAGACTGTGAACAACGAAACAATGAACCAATGACAACACGACACCTCAGACAAGTGAACACATGACTAAGAAGGAATCACATGACAAACATGGAACATGACATGAACAAACCAAAATGTGACTGTAGCCTTTTGAGACACACATCAAATGTGTGCTCCAATTATAAGCAAAGTACAAACCTGTAGTAAATAGTCTATTATATTAATCTGGATTCAGCCCATCTTTAAAAATCTGGATTATGGCAGTCCCAATGCACAGGTCATACAGAAAGCATAAGTAAGACATTTTGAGTGCTATGTTACCAAATACATGAATAAAATATTTTAAGGTAAGAAGTGTTTATTCCAATCCTGCTATAACTGTAAATTCATGCAGGATATTGCTAGTCTCTGTGGAGAAAGAAAGGTCAGTGTTTATTTTTCTCCTGGTTGGTGTATGTTATAGATTTTTGGGCTTTGGCCAACACTGTGCTCTTCTGTTGATTTAGAGCAGCTCTGATAGTCAGACAAGATCCCTGCAACCCCTGCTGAGAGTGTGGATTCACTTCTATAGAATTTACAGGACAACTTTCACATATTTAGCAAAGTTGGAGTATGTTCAACACCACGTCGAAAAAAAAGCTTAGAATAAAGATTTAGGAGTTCATTTTGGTTTTTAAAAGGTGAAGTGTCACTATATGTTCATGAGGTTTAAATGATTTGAGTTCAAAATATTACAAAATAAGATAAAGATTGATAACGCTTCCTTTTTGTCATGATTCTGCCCTCTTGTGGTTGATTTTCTCTGGTCATGAGGCAGGATCATGACAGAATCATGTTTTGTGTACAAGCGCATGGTCTGTTTGGGCCATGTGCTTGTGTTGTCTCGTTTCTTTACTCCGCCCCCTTGTTATCCTCGTCTCGTCATTATTGTCTAGTCAGTCTCACCTGTCCTCGTCATTAGTGTTCCCTATTTAATCCCCTTGTGTTTGCTGTCCTGTGTCGGTTCATTGACTAATGTTGCCAAATGTTATCTGTGCCAAGTTTGTGAGTACCTGTCAAGAGTATTTGTCCTGTTTATCCATTGCTCGTGTCAGTCATTTATTTTGTAGTATTTTGTCAGTACCTTGTCTAGTCAGTCACCTTGTCAGAGTCTTGTTTTGCCCCCTCGTGGGCTTTTGTTTTCCCCTATTTGTCAGAATAAACTATCTGTGATTGCACACCGTCTGCTTCTGGGTTCATCCGCCATCCATACCATAACACTTTTACAGTACAGTACTTATGTGTACTTACAGTGTACTTACCTAGAAAGTAATAGCTAATATAAGGTAAGTAACATGGGTTAGGGGTAGGTTCAGTGTCAGTACCTAATTGTTACCCAGCAATTGTAATTACTACACTCTCAAAAAAAAAGGTACAAAAGCCGTCACTAGGGCTGTACCTTTTCAAAAGGGAAAACTTTTGTCCATTTTAGGTACTAATATGTATATTTTAGGTGCTAATATGGACATTTAGGTGCTAATATGAAAATGTTAGGTACTATTATGTACATTTTAGGTACATTTTAGGTGCTAATATGGACATTTAGGAGCTAATATGTACATTTTAGGTGCTAATATGGACATTTTAGGTGCTGTACATTTCAGATGCTAGTATTTAGGTGCTAATATGGACATTTTAGGTGCTATTATGTATATTTCAGGTGCTAATATGGACATTTTAGGTGCTATTATGTATATTTCAGGTGCTAATGGACATTTTAGGTGCTAAGGACATTTAGGTGCTATTATGTATACATTTTAGGTACCAATATGCACCCTTTAGGTACCAATATGCACCCTTTAGGTACTTTTGAAAAGGTACAGCCCCAGTGACAGCTTTTGTACCTTTTTCTCTGAGAGTGTATAATAAGTACATAGTATGTACACGGGTAATAGGACTGTAAAAGGAAGCGTTACCCAATGTTTCTATCATTAGAAAGGTAATTCTGTTTAGTTTTTATATAATTCATTTAAAGTTTAATTTTTTAATTTGAACCTTTATTTAACCAGGAGAGAACACTCTGAAAATTGCTGGGTTTTAACCCAACGTTGGGT